TGAGAAATCCACTCCAATAGTGTTAAGCCCTTGAGACCAGGGGGCTCCTTATTACAACACTTCATCTATTCATTCCCCTCACCCCAACCCTGGACTCAATGCTCATGTCTATACTGCCTTTCTGGGTGGACGCTGGGGCCCTACTACCCAGTGGCATATTTCCTTGGCAAATTGCCAACATTTCTGATCATCTTCTGCTTTAGAGTTTATCATTATCAGGCCTGTGCACACATCTCCATGCCCCCTTTGCTCTGGGGTGGGGCTTCCTGTTGCTGACAACTTGCCTAGAATACCACTTGTGGTCTTGCTGTCAAACTCTAGATTCTGACTTCTGCTTTCTGGGCACACAGTCTGACTCCTTGGTGCCCGCCCCACACCCAGTGACTAGGGGGAGAGAAATGACTGTTTCAGGCATTAGCTTGCCCACAAGCTCCAAGGCTTCCCTTGAGGCAGTCAAGTCTTCTGCTGACTCTCCACATTCACAAGCAGAACTATATCTAATCACCAACAGGTAGGCACATTCAGCCAGGAGAACTGCCAGGAGAGACTGGACGTCAATTTAGAAAGTGCTAACTTCTGACAAGCTGCCATCATGTGTGTCACACATGGATAGGGAGGCTGAAATGCGGAGGAGGCAGGATGGGCCGTGCCTGGTTACAATATCAAGGGAAGCCTGTAGCCGACAACTTCGTTGCCTGCCTTCTGATGACACACACGGCCACAGTCTGAATGGCAGTGTTGCTTCAGTTCTCCTGCTGTGTGCCGGGACACCTGAGTGATGTTGACATACCAATGTTAGACTATCATCTGATTAGCTCCATGTCCCTTTTAATAATGAAACCAGACGGGTTTCAAATGGTCTAAATAGCATCAAGTCACTCCCCTACTTGGAGTCTGTCAGTGGCTTCCCTTTCCTTTTGGAAGGAAATAGTACATTTTTCCCGTGGTCCACCAGGCCTTAGATGTTCGGCCCCTCCCACACCCCCCTGCATAGTCCAGTCCTACCTCTACCTTTGTTCCATGTCTCCCCACCATGCTGGTCTCTGTACGCTCTTCAGATATACCCAGCAGTGCCAGACATCTAGTACAAATTCAATAAATAATTGTTGAATGGCTGGATGAGAGTCAATGAGGGAACTGTTGTAATCTAGCAAGAGATCGTGGAGCTGAGATTTGGGTGGATGCCTCTAGTTCCCCGCTAGAAGAGATCAGAAACTTTGCTTGTTTGCTGCACCAGGGATTCCCATTGTCCTGAACAGCCTCTAACACTGAGCAGATGCTAATGCAGTTGTTGAACCATGGAGATGAATTACAATAAATAAAAAGAGTGGTGGTCAGAATGAAAGAGACTTTGCAGGCAGAACCAGCAGGGCTTGTGATGAGCTGGTTGTGGGGCTGGGATGAGGCTGAGAGAAGGAAGAGTCAAGGGTGAGCACCAGTTTCTGGCTTGTGGCTGAGCAGAAGGAGGGAACATGGGGAATATGGGACGAGAAATGGGGAACATGGGACGAGGTCAATCGAGGAAAGAGTGACAGCGAGTCAGCTCTAGAGACTGTGAGTCTGCATTGTCCGTGGGGCAGTTGTCAGAGAAGGACCAGTGAGCAGCTGGATGTATTGGCCTGAAACTCAGGAGCAAGAGTGTGCTGAAGAGAGTGGATTTGGGAGAGAACAGCCTGTGATGCTAGTGAAAGCTGAGTGAATGGATGGGACTGATTGTGACAGGTGGTGTGGTTGTACAGTGACATATAAAATATGGTCCCAGCCCTCACAACTGATACAACATCAAGATTTGACATAGACCTTAAAACTGTTTACGAGCCCGTACGTATCTCCATAGCAACCCTGAAGCGAAGAGATGGCTCTGCCCTGATCACAGGCTGGGGAAACACACAGATGGCGGCTGTCTCCCACGGTCCCCTGATGTGAGAGATGCTCTCGCTTCATCCAGGACTCACAACCAGTGGCACCTGAAAATCCCACTCCTGCGGCCAGCCAAACCTGGGTCTTTTTCCACATCTCAGCCATGGGGCCAGGAGAAGGAGAAGGACAGTTGAGACAGCCTTTTCTTTCCAAAGCTCCTTCACTCTAACTCTGTTTCTCCACATCCATTATTTCATCAAAGCTATTGTGGGGAGGCCCCAATGACTGAACTGCCAAATCCAAAGACTCTTCGGGTACCACCTCACCTGGACTTTCTGTAACCTCCAACACTCTTGGCCATTTCCTGCTTCTTGCAACCGTCCTCCGGTGGCTCTTGTGGAGACAGTCACAGGCCATGTGCATCAAGTGCTCACTATGTATCAGAACTCTGCCAAGCAGGCTGACTAGTGTCCCTCACAGCCACCCTGTGCAGTGCGGACAATTATCTTCCCTTTGCAGACAAGAAACTGAGGCTTGGAGAGATTAAATCACTTTCTAAGACCACTCAAACTAGAGTGCCGAAAGCCAGGTATTTGAAAACAAAAAGCTGCATCCTTAAGCACTAGCATAGGACCCCTCTGATGAGTTTCTCACTGAGTTTCTCTCTGTCTTTCTCTTTTTCTTTCTTTCTCTCTCTCACATCTTTCGTCATTCCTCCTCAGTCTTTCTCCAGGACCTCTTTGTTACCCCACACATGACTGCTCTTCTTTGTGTTCTTCCGTTGCCCCCTTCTCAACACTCTACCTGTTCTTTGGGTCCAATTTTATCCTTATGGCCTTGCCCGTCCACATGCAAATGGCTTTCAAAACCAAAGCCACTCCCTACTTCAGATTTTCCTCCTGACCGCTACAGATCTGGCCACCACTGAGCTGCTCTACCTGTGTGGCAACAGGGGTCTCGGTCTGAGTGTGCACAACCCAGAAGCCACAGATGCCCTGCACTTGCTCCTTCTTCGAGTCCTCACTGTGGTGCATGGTGACATCATGGCTCCGTCAAGAGCCAGAAACCCAGAGTTATCTTTGAACTCCAGCCCATCCTCACCTCACACTCAGTCAGTGACCAAATACGATCAATTCTGCCTTCCCAGAAATCTAAAAACCCAAGTCTCTCTTGCCCATTTCTATGCCCAATGCTTTATTAAGACCATCATCTCCCACTTAGGTGACCTACAGCCTCCCCATCTCAGGTATGAACCCTGCCATCTTCCTCCTAAGAGGACATTTCTAAGAGCAGATCCGATCATGTTGCTGCCCGATTGTACCTGCTCTGGCTTCCCCCGACACTGGGATGAAGCATGAACTCCTGCCTTGCGTGATCTGGCCTCTGTGTGTCTCTCTATCTTCTCTACTCACCCCAGCTTCTGGTGCCTTCAAACAAGCATTAGCTATGTTCCCTCTGCCAAGTACATCTGTCCTATTTTCATTTGCTTGGTGAATTCTTCTGTCCGGTCTAAGTTCAGAGGTCATTTGTTTCAAACCTTTTGCCAATTGCCTGTCCTCCTGTTATGTGCCCTGTATGCATTTTTGCCATCACAGCTGTAAGACTGATGGAACTTAGATGTTCACACTATGGAAGGTGAGCAGTCCTGGAAGGTGAGCTCCTTGTTGGCAAGATCAGGGCTTATATGCTGGGACTCTCATCCTAGTGCCCAGTGCCTAGTAATTGCTTAATAACAGCTTGCTTTCTGAAGGAATGAAGGAATCAGTGAGACCTAACCTGGTCTCATGTTCTCAGAAACTAGACAGAAAGTCATTAAGATACAGGATGATACTGAGGAGATTGAACTGAATTGGGAGTAGCTGAGGTTTTCAGTCATGCCCAGTGGCCCTAATGTCTTCCACAAAGAGGTAAGGCAGACCCCAAGCATATCCCACCCCTCCACTTCCTTAATAGCAAGGAGGTAAATGTCAGAAAGAACTATGTCACATCTGTGGGCTGGCTTGGTGAACTATGAATGTTCTCAACCAAGATGTGACTTTAGATTTAGTAGGAAAACACTACATTTAAAGACCAAGGGATTGGGGCTGAAGCCTGGCCTCTCAAATGTGTTAAACATGTAATTTCCAACAGTCACGGAACATCTCTAAGTTCTAGTTTCTTCAGCTGGGAACCCAGGAATGAAAAGTTTGCTCACCTGTTTCCTGGGGTTGTTCTGAGGCTGAATTGAGGTTAGACATACAACTTCCTTGTACTTGTGTGGTGTTGAGGAAGCTCCATGGTTCCCTCCTTCAGGGTCCTGCATAGCAAAGAGGATGTGCCCGCTGACACCTCTTTCAGTTTCTGCCTCAGTCCTCATCAGAGCTCAGCACAGAGCAGTTGAAGGAAGGCAGACATCTGCACAGGCAGTTTTAAACACAGGGAACATGGAGGAAATACCACAGAATTTATGGAGTGAAAGCTTTAAAAAGAAACACAAGACCAAAGTCAAAACAGTTGACTCAACTCTGGGGGAGATGTCTGCCTGGATGCAGGAGGGGAAAAAATACAGACTTGGAGTGGGTGGAGATGGAGAGGGAGGCTGTCTGGGGCACTCGACCAAGTGGGGCAAGCGGGCACCTTCCCACACAGCTCAGGGAGGGAAAGTTGAGCCTGTCTCTATGCTGGGTAGCACCTGCCAGCGTCTTTGAAATGCACGTCTTTGGGCCCAGCTGCTCCACTTCCAAAAATGTCACTTGGGAGATCCTCATGCAAAGGCGTGGAGTTATGTATCAGGATGTCCACTGTAGCCTCATTTGAAGTTGGGAAAACTTGGAAACAAGTTGAATGCTGCTCAACAGAAGATGGGCCAAACATCTTACAGCACACCCACACAGTGAAGCCCTGAGTAGCCAGGGGCAGATGTCCCTAAACATGAACACGGGAGAATATTCATGATACAGCAAGAAAGATCAGTTGCAGAATGTCATGACTATGATCTTGTTTCCACCAAAGATGAAAACATACCCTTGTGTGTTTATGTGTAGTAAAAGTTATAGGAGGATATATACTGATTGGTTAATACAGTTTGTCAGTGGGAGTTGGGATTATAGGGGATTTTCTATAAAGTTCTGTCGAGTTGATAGTCGGTCTTTTTTTTGGTATTGTTGTCCCAGATTTATTGAAAATATGACAGCATCACAGAAAGACTCAAACAGTTCCTCATGGTGTTTTGAAGTTCATCTCAACTGTAAGCTGAGTGACCTGCAGGTTGGACAGACTGCCAAAGTACAAAAGCTTCAGCATTTCCTTAGTGTCAGGATCTACTTCAATGATCTCCTGATCCAGGGGTGAGACCTCCAGAACGTAATTGTCCCTCCTTTCTCCCTCTTCCTCCTGCAACTTGATGGAGATACCTCTCACTTGGCCTCTCTGGATCCACTTCATCAGATGCGTGACATAGCTGGCTATCTTGTTGCAGAGCTTCTTGCTGGGGGGCAATCTCCTCACACACGCGCTTGTTCATGTAGAAGCCATTGTCCAAGCGCGTGTAGTACTTCTTAATGACAACCCGGGTCACTTTCTTTATGGTTTTGGTTCAAACATGGCCCATGTTCGCGAGTCCTTGGTAAAAGAGTGAGTTGATAGTTTTAATTGACATATTTTTAAAATAAAAAAATCCAGAAAAAAGTTAAAGACTAATGTTTACTTATGATATATATCATGGCAATTGTCTGTTCTTCATTCTGGAAAAGCTCTGACTGGACTGATCCTGCATCGTGCCACAAATTCAAAGTTGTAATACATCCTTAATCACATTACTGTCCAGATAAAAATCCTTAACATCTCTCACTTGCGATATTCCACTCTATCCTGGTTAGTTTACACAATTCACAGGATATCATCTCTGCTCTGCGTTGGCCCTAGAATGGGTGTGGTAACCTCTCGGTGGCATTTACAGTTACTACAAATCACAAGTCACATAGGAAGGGCCCCAAGAATATTAGGCAGAGAAGTGAATGTCCTCAGCATCCCAAGGGGAGCTGGGAAACTCCTCAAGAAGGCCAGACCTCTCTGAGCTGGCCACCAACGTTCTAAGGCTTCTCTGTGATCAGAGTCAGGGCACATGGTGCCATGTCCCCAGGGTGCCATGAGGTGCACATGCTCCATAGAGCAGGGGTCCTCAAACTACGGCCCAGAGGCCACATGCGGCCCGCCGAGGACATTTATCCAGCCCACCGGGTGTTTTTGCCTCTGCTGCCTGTCCTGCCTGGCAGCGGACTGGTCCGGGCCGCAGTGCGCATGTGTGGAATGTGCGTCGCACTCTCCGACTCCCCTCCTCTCTGTCTCTCGACTCCTCCTCTCAGTAATCTCAGGAACCATGCTCTCAAAATGGCAACCATCTTTGGCAGCACTTATGTCTGTGAACAGACTTTTTCCAGAATG